ATGTGGCTCTTTGGCCCCTTGAGTGTGGCTCTTCCAAAAAATACCATGGCCTGGGCGAGTCCAATGTGAAGAAGTGGAGTTAGAAGAAGTTTAAGTTTAAAAAATTTGGTTCTCAAATTTCAATTATTGTACTGCTAATACTTGGCTCTGTTGACTAATGAGTTTGCCAACCACTACCCCAGCTCAACCCCAAATCTTCTCATTTTATGACCTCATCCCTGTACCTCTATGCTTTCTCCTGGGCCCCAGGGATGAAGGAAGAGGAGGGATATGGAGCCTGGGGAGGACTCACCTGCGTGTACCCCAGTCCTCTGGTCCAGACTCAGCCCTGGGAGAGACTCCCCATCAGAGATTTGAACCCGGATGTCTGAGCTGATTCCCTTCCCGTTAGGCCCTGTCCACTCGAGCTGCCTGATCCTGAGGTTCCCCATGAACAAGGGGATGTAGCCACCCTGTACATCCTCGTACCACTCCTCCTGCTGCTCCTCCCCTTGTCCACAACTGACTAAGGCAGAGAAGAGCAGAGAGGATAGACATCATGGCGTCTGCTCTGAGGGCTCCTGCTCTGCAGATGGAGGAGGTCTAGGCCTGAAGGACAGAGATGCACAGGAAGTGGTGAGTCAGGAGCAGCTGCCCTTCAGGGTTTTCACAGCTGGGGACCCACAGCCTGGGCCTGTTCTGAATATCCCCAGAATGAGGGCTCATGGGAAGTCCAGCTTTCAGGAGGCAGCTCAGCAGTATCTGAGGTCTCACCTGATCCCCAGGGTCTCATGTGCAGAAGCATGTTGCAAAGCTCCCAGGCTTACCCCTTCCAACCTTGTTGGTGTTTTATTTACAAACTAGAGTTTCAGTGCATGAAATTCATACATGAGGGTTGTGTGTGTGTCCCTCAGCCCAGCCTGCACCCTCTCCAATCTGGGATCCCTTTCACAATTTAGGACTGCTGGCTCTCATCCGCTCACCTGCCTGCCTGCCTGCCTGCCTATTTCCCCTAACTGCTTATGCAGCCTGATCACCCCCTAACCACTGATCACCCCCTAACCACTGCCAGCCTGATCACCCCCTAACCACTCGTCTGCCAGCCTGATTGACATTAGGGGAGCCTAATGCTCCCCTACTAGCCCAATTGCCCCTAAATGCCCTCCCCTGCCAGACTGGTTGCCTCTAACTATCCTTCCCTGCTGACCTAGTCCCCCCTAACTTCCCTCACTTGCTGGGCTTGCCACCCCTACCCTCCACTGCCAGCCTAGTCGCTTCCAATTGCCCTCCTCTGCAGGCCTGGTCACCTCTAGCTGTTCTCCCCTGCAGGCTGGTGACCCCTAACTGCCCTCCCTGCCAGTCCAGTCACCCTAACTGCCCGCCTTATCATCCCTAACTTTACTCCCCTGCTGGCCTGGTCACTCCTATCTAACCTCCCATGCAGGCCTGGTTCTGCCAAACTACCCTTCCTTCAGGCTTGGGTCCCCTCAAACTGTCCTCCCCTATAGGCCTGGTCATCTCCAACTGTCCTCTTCTGCTGCTCTGGTCACCCCAAACAGCTCTCCCTGCAAGTCTGCCCCCCCCCTTCAAACTTCACTCCACTGCTGGTTTGGGCCCCTCGCCAACTGTCCTCCCCTACAGGCCTGTTCACCACTTCAGTGGATTGCCCTCCACTAAAGGCCTGATCTCTCCCAACTTCCCTCTCTTGCTGGCCTAATCACCCACAACTGCCCTCCCCTGCTGGCCATCTTGTGCAGTCATCTTGGGTCCTCATGGGGGTGGCCATCTTTGACCACATGGGGGCGGCCATATTGTGTGTTGGAGTGATGGTCAATTTGCATATCACCTCTATTGTATAGGACATTGCACTCCTCCAGTTCATTTGTAATACATGACACATGATTTTATAAGATAATCTGAACAAATAGCTTGTTTCTCATATCTTTTGTGATAAACACCTCCTCAACACCCTTGTGTGGTGATCACCACACCCATGACCAGCCATCACTCCCCTCTCCCTTCCTGCCTTTCAGACAGTCTGTCTGTATATGCCCAGGGGCACATAAGTTGTTCTTTCCTCTCCACCATGTTCTCATCCACCTCTTAGGTCTCTGCCTACTCACACAGCCAGTCCTTCAAACATAGTCTAGACCTGGTCACAGCTGTTCCCATACAGTTCTTTTTAATTTTCCTTTTTGTAAATAATTAATTGGTACATTATCCTTCGAAAGTCCTAGTCTACTTGTCTGAGTTCTCAAAATACAGGCAATGTGTCTCCTGAATCACGGATGTATTTCTGGTACTTGGATCAACACCTGCAGGTAGAAGGAGATAAATATTTGTTTATGGACCAGTCCAAGACAGAAAGTAATTTCCACTGGTGGTGGCTGAGAAGGTACGTGATTGCCCTCTTTAGAGCCAGCCCTCCGGGGGTTGGCTCCAATAGAGAACACAGAAACACAGGTCCATGCAGGGTGGCATCATCCACTGGCTGGGAGCCCACATCTGAGGGAAACCAGAAGGGCGGCAGCAGCTTCTGAACCACATCCTGTGTGTCTCTGTCGTTCAGGCCCAGGCTTCCTTCATTTGCAAAGTGGGAGCCTTCAGAGAAGACACCATGGCGTCCATCCTCTCTGTGATTCTCTGCCTCGGTCAGTAGTGGACACAGTAGGGCAGTGGCACCTTCTTGTTCAGGGGGAACCTCAGGCTCAGGCAGCTTGAGTCGATGGGCCCTGATGGGAAGGGAATCAACTCAGAAGTTCAGGTGCAAATCTCTCACAGGAACTCTCTTCCAGGGCTGAGTCTGGACCAGAGGACTGGGGTGCAGGCAGGTGAGTCCTCCCCAAGCTCCATGACCCTCCTCTTCCTTTATCCCTGAGGCTCAGGAGGGAGCAAAGAGGTGCTGGGGTGAGGTGGGGGATGAGGGTGGGGAAGGCCCTTGAAAAACAGCCTCTGGTTTCCTTTTAGAGATCCTCCCCAAACCCACCCTTTGGGCTGAGCAAGGCTCTGTGAACCCCTGGTGGAGCCCCATTACCATCTGGTGTCAGGGTTCCCCTGGGGCTGAGGAGTACCATCTGGATAGAGAGGGAAGCACAACACCATGGAAAACACTGAATCTACTGGAGCCTGGAGACAAGGCCAAGTTCTCCATCACATACATGACAGAGCATGATGCAGGGAGATATCGCTGTTGCTATCACAGCCGTGCTGGCTGGTCAGAGCACAGTGACCCTCTGGAGCTGGTGGTGACCACAGGTGAGAGGACACTCATGGATCCCAGCCTCGGGCTCTGCCCTCATGAAGGGGGTCTGCTCTCAGGGTGTCTACCTCTCACAGCCCAGCCCTGGGGGACATGAGGGAGGTGTGAGCTCATTTAACATACTGCCTCCTCCTCTCCTAGGAACTTACAGCAAACCCAGCCTCTCAGCCCTGCCCAGCCCTGTCTTGCGCTCAGGAGGGAACATGACCCTCCAGTGTGGCTCAGTGGAGAGGTTTAGCAGATTCATTCTGACTAAGGAAGGAGATCACAGGCTCTCCTGGACACAGGACTCACAGCCACAGCCCAGTGGGCAGTCCCAGGCTCTGTTCTCTCTGGACCCCAGCACTCTCAGTAACAGGTGGATATTCAGATGCTATGGCTGTCACAGGAACAGGCCCCAGGTGTGCTCCCACCCCAGTAATGCCCTGGAACTGCTGGTCCCAGGTGAGTCCCATTCTTGTGTCATTCAAGGACTGAGATATCAACCAGGTTATTGACATTTTTTGCTGTGAGGGGATCCTAGGGGCCCCTGGGCTAGCCACACAGAGAGATACAGTGAGACCTGGGAGCCAGGACAGCAGAAGGGGATTATGGGTGGAGAAGAACCTGTGATTCATGTCTGGTCTCCCCAGGTGAGTCTAGGAAGCCCTCCCTCCTGAGCCAGCAGGGGCCGATCGTGGCCTATGGACAGAGACTGACCTTCCAGTGTCGCTCTGGTGTCGGCTATGACAGATACACTCTGCACAAGGAGGGGGATCGGGACCTCCTCCAGAGCCTTGTCCTGCAGCCCCAGGCTGGACTCTCTCAGGCCCACTTCCCCCTGGGCACTGTGAGCAGCTCCCATGGGGGCCGGTACAGATGCTACGGTGGATACAACCTCTCCTCTGAGTGGTCAGCCCCCAGTGACCCCCTGGACATCCTGGTGACAAGTGAGGAGCCAGTGGGTTCAGTCAGGGACCCAGACTTGCTGGCGGTCTCAGGTGGTAAGGCCAGAATGAAAGTGTATGTGCAGGGATGGGGAGAAACAGAGGGGGAAGGATGGTTGGAGGGGAGAGGGGGAGATACAGAAAAAGAGAAAGAGAGTGGGGATGGTCCTCAGAGAGAGGCCTGATGACTCTCAGGGCAGAACAAGGGGAGCAGGCAGCCCTCACCCTCCTCCCTTCCTCTCTCTCTCTCTAGGATGGCTGTCTGACACACCTTCCCTGTTGGTACAGTCAGGCCCCAGGGTGGCCTCAGGAGAGAACGTGACCCTGCTGTGTCAGTCACGGAGCCAGAGGGACATGTTCCTTCTGTCAAAGGAGGGGACAGCCAATCTCCCCATTCATCTGAGATCAGAGCATCGAGCTCAGCATTACCAGGCAGAGTTCTCCATGAGTCCTTGTGACCTCAGCCCATAGGGGCACCTACAGGTGCTACAGCTCACGCACCTCCTCCCCATATCTGCTGTCACATCCCAGTGAGTCCCTGGAGCTCCTGGTCTCAGGTGAGGGCCCCTGACCCTGTCTGCTGAGCTGTCAGCTCAGGGTCCCATTCCCAGGAGAATTATGGTCTGAAACTGGTGTGAGAGGTTATAAGGATGGTCACTCAGAGGAGATCTGTTTCTCAGAGGCCCTCCCACCTCATCCACTACCTCCCGGTCACCTGGATACTGAAGCAGTGGGAGGGTGTTAGGGGCCACAGCACAAATGTAAGAGGGTGTCTGTGTGAAATGGGGTCTTGTGTCAGGCAAAGCTTCTCACCCTCTTCCTGCACTCACTTCCAGAACCCTCTGGAGGCCTCAGACCACCACCCACAGGGCCCACCTCCACAGCTGGTGAGTTCTGGGGAGCTCTGCCCAGAGGAAGCACAGCTCACCCAGGAAGTCCTAAGTCTGTCAGGGGATCGAGTGACCCAGGTCCTCAAGGACGGGCTTGTGTCCCGAGGACCTGCGAGTCCCAGGGTCTGAGGCAGGTGATGGGTGGGGTGGTTATGACAGAGGGAGATTTGGGGATGCAGGCTGGGAGAGGAGTTGGGCTCATGTATGGAGATGACAGCACCCTCCCCTATATCTCCTTCCTGATCTCAGGTGTCTCTCCGACCCACAGGGTCAGGCCCCCAAAGGGTAAGTGAGGGTCTCTGTGGGGAGGTGGTTGGTGCTTCCATGGGGGACATGGATCAGCCATGCAGGGGTTCAGACCCCGCTGGATTTGATGACTTGGACCCACCCTTCCCCTGTCTGGGCCTCAGTGTCTCCAGGTGTAAAAGGAGAGAACCCTTGTCCAGGGCTTAGATTTCCTGTTGGTTCTGATCCTGACCTCCTGGGAGAGGGGCCTCACAGAGAAGCCCCCAGGATGTGATGTTACGGGGCCTGTCCCCTCTGTCTCAGTGATGGTGACACTGTACAGGGAGGGACAGGCAGGACAAGGGTCCAGGCACCCAGTCCTCCCCCTCAGGTCAGACTCAGCTCAGAGGAGGGAACAGGTGGATCAGCCCTGGTTCAGCTCCTGGCTCTGCTACTCCTGCTGTGGGGTTGGATGGTCTCTTGTCTCCTCTGATTGTGGAGCTCCTGTCTGCTGGTCCCATCCTACTCACAGGCTGCTGGGAGATGAGGTGAAGAAGGGCCTCACAGAGCTCAGGAAGGCAGAGCCCCCAGCCCAGCCCAAACTTCCCAAGGGGGCATCAGGGCATGCAGGGTTGGAAGGGTGAGGGAGAGACTCAGATGTCACCCCACACCCTGCTTGTACCTGCCCCTGCTGTGCTGGAGATGGGGTAACGAGGCAGGACCCTCAGTTTCAGATGAGACATGGACAGACCCCTAGAAAGGAGAAGACCAGAGCACAAAGCTCTTGTCCCTCTGGGGTCAGCGTGAGGACAGCACAGGGAACCCACAGTCCTGGGCTCCAGTCCCAGCCCTGCCCCATCCAAGCTGGGTGACCTGGGGCACATGGTTAACCTCTCAGTGAAGTTGGGTGGTGCATGACTGTGAGTGAGAGGAGATGAGTAAGACCCCAGCACGTGCCTCACACACGGTAGGTGCTCATTCAATGGCGTCCTTGATTCACTCATGACATCACTCGTGTCCTAGGTCCCAAATGGTACATGATCGGGGTGTCAGCGACCCTGGTCCTGCTGCTCTCCCTTCTCTTCTTCCTCCTCCGACACTGGTGTCAGAGCAAAGGCAGGACATCAGGTGAGTAGGGAACAGGGTTACATGGGTTACAGGAGGGAGAGAGGCTCTGAACACCTGCCACCGGAAACCAATTAGATCTAGAAGATCAGCTGGAATTAGGATTTCTCCAGAATCTCAAATCAGGAAATCTTGATAGAAAACAATTTCAGCACACATTCAAGGTAATCTTCAATCATTTTGAATCTCATGACACATGAAACATATGCAATGTGTGTGTTACATTTTCCTTCTTTCCTGTTGAATCACAGGGGAGGCGTCCTATCTCCCAGGGCTGAGACTGTCCCTCGTGACCAGCCCAGAGAGGGGCTCATGTCCAACCTCCTGCAGGACCACACACCCCAAGGGCAAGGACAGAGGCCTGCAGATCATGTAATTCCTGCTCCAAAGACCCAAGAACACCACCACCAATGGCCCATTTCTGCCCCTAACCCTCCTGTCTCTTCACCCAGCTCCAGCCCAGATGTGGACGCCCAGGAGAAGGTTCTTTGTGAGAGGAAGAGACAGCTGCCCTGGGGGAAGGGCACAGAGATTTCAGAAGGTAATGGGGAGGGTTAGGCTGGGAGGCTGGGGGACAGGCTGAGGACTGACTCATACTGTGTGACCGGGCTCTGCACCTCACCATGGGTTAGTTGTCCATCTGTGAGCAGGCTGGGCCTGCAGCCCTGATATCTCGGGTACTGGCCAGGAGACACCCCCCTGTTCTGCCCCAGCAGATGCTGCCATGAAGGACCTGCAGTCTGGGGAGAGCATGGAGCTGGACCCTCAGGTGAGACCCCTGCACCTGTCCAGGCCACCAAGGACCTTCTGTTGCCCAGTTTAATCCAACGGACCCTTCCCTGTCCCACCTCACCTGCTTCTCAGCAGCGTCCACACTGACCTCCCCTCTGGTTTCCTTGTGACCTCATAGCCCCTCCTTTGGGGCCCCCTTTGCTGGTCCCTCATCCTCTGTCTGACCTGGTGCAGCCCCAGGTCTCAGGAGGAGGCAGGAATGAGTGACTCACCCACAGATCTCCAGGTCCCCTTCATTCATTCACCCAGCAGTTGTGATGTGCTCACTGTTTACCGGCTCCATTTAGGGGCCACGATTCAGCCCTGAGCCACGCTGTGTCCACATGCCTCAAGCTCACCTGTGGACGAGGGAGACAATATGCAAACAAGCATAGTGTTCCAGAGAGCACAGTGCTGTGAAGGAACATAAAACAAGAGGAGGGGATAGAGTGCATGGTGGGGGGACATGGAAAGAGCAGGTGCAGAGGTACTGAGACAGGGCCTGCTTCTTCAGGAAGAGGGGCCATGAGAGTGGAGCTCAGTGAGCAAGAGAGCGCATTAGGATGAGAGTCAGAACCACAGAAGCATCCAGAAGCTCCAGGTCTTAGGAAGGTCCTGCAGGTTCCATCAGGAGAGGGACCTGGTCTATTTAAAGTGTAAGCCATCTCTCTGGCAACACGAGGATGATTGACAGGAGGATTTTTACTGTAGAATCCAGGAGACGCTGTTCTGTCTCACTGTCTCCTTCAGACCAGGCAAGATGAAGGCCCTCAGGGAGTGACGTATGCCCAGATGAATTACTCAAGACCAAGACCTGGACCAGGAATGGCCACCTCTCCTTTGCCTCTGTTGAGGGGATTGCTGGACACAAAGGGCAGACAAGCAGAAGAGGACGGACAGATGGACAGTCAGGTGGGTCCCGTCCTTTCCAGACCTGCAGGTTTTTTCCAACCCCAACCACGTTTCATTCCTCTTTCTCCCCCTTCTCCAGGCTGCACCTAACACCCCCCAGGATGTGACCTATGCCCAGCTGAACCCCTTGGATCTCAATCAGAGGACAACTGCACCCCGTTTCTCCCCATCTGATGAGCCTCCAGATGAGCACATTGAGTATATTGCTTTGTCTGTCCCCTAGCCCAGGAAGGACCCAGAACCCACATTTCAGGAAGGGGGCCTGCACATAACCTCGAAAAGCCGGAATGCTGCCCCATGGGCACCTGGCTAGTACCCCGGCCTGGAGACCTGATGAGGACCACCCACAACTCCTTGGGCCTCTGGGAGTCTTTAGGTCAAAGATAACCTATATCTCTACCTTTTGCAAATAAAGCAACAGACTTCTCAGTAATCAATGTGTGAACCCAAAACAGAAGTGAATGTTTTAAATTGAATTATAATGTAAACTAGAGGCGCAGTGCATGAATTCATGCTTGGGTGAGGTCCTGAGGCCGGGTGCCAATCAGGGCCATGGGGGGCTGGGCCAGCTGGCAGAGGGGAGGACTTGTGGGAGGTTGGCTTTAACAGCAAGCTAACCAATGGCAAATTACACCAGGAATTGGACTCCATCCTACCTCCTGTATGGTTCAGGGTGGGGGAGAACCAGATTCAGAGCTGTCAGGGCCCCAGCAGCAAGGTCTGGGTCAGTGCACATCATAGCTACTGGCTGGTCATCATGTCAAACCCTCCTTCTGGTCGTTTGGTCTTAACAGTCACTTCAGCTTTTATATAGGTGAAAGATAGATAGATAGATAGATAGATAGATAGATAGATAGATAGATAGATGGGTCCCGTCTAGATGGGTCCCATCTAGATGGAGAGAGAGATAGAAACATCAAGGATGAGAGAGACTCATTGATTGGTTGCCTCCTGCATGCCTCCTACTGGAGATCAAACCTCAAACCTGGGCATGTGCCTTTGACCAGAATCGAACCCAGGACCCTTCAGTCTGCAGGCTGATGCTCTCACCACTGAACCAAACCAGTTATGGCAATAGCAGAGTTCTTGACGATTTATTCTTCAGCTGCTAAAGTGAAGCTCAAGATGCAGTGTTATCTTTAAGGGGGAGGGTAAGTTAAAAACAATAAGAATGCCAATGGCAACCCCTATTCTGGGTATCGATGCAAAAAAAGATAAAAGCATCTATTCATAAAGGTACGTGTGCCCATGGATTATGGATGTCAGCAACCTTCACCCTCACCACTCCCCCTTCACCACCTCACACAGCCAGGTGTGTGCACTTCCTGCATCCTGGAGAGCGAGACTTCTTCTCATTGCCAGAGGAACGGATGAGGAGTGAACATTCAGGAACACTGGGTGCAGGTTCAGCTCCCGTGAGATGCCCCTGTTGACCTGCATTCTTTGAGGCTGAGAACTTGGGGAATATGGTGCTCCTGTCAACCAGGAGGCAGGGCTAAGCAAAGCAGAGATGGTCCAGGATGTGGTGGGCAGTGTCTCCACACCGCATATGTCCTGTTCACTAGGAGCCAGCCTCACAGGAAGAAGACCAGACTTTTCTCCCTAAAAATAGAGGTGCTTAGGGTCTGATGTGAGCCACGTCCTGACCACACCTCAGGTCTAACGTACCACATTTATTTTTCCTAAGCTCCACAGTCTCATAAGGACTTTCACATTATTTTTCTGCCATTGGAAAGTCATATCAGTTATTCCATTTATAGCTTTCAACAGCCCCTGGCCGAGCTAATGTAGAAAAAGTAGTGAATATTCAGAAGCAATTTTCAGGAGAAATATGACATCCCTAGCAGCTAGTCCCTACTAAGGCCTTATGCCAGTACATATTCTTCACTCTCCTGAGAAACAAAAAGTAAGAGTGGACAGTTGGACTCTGCATTTCTATAAGAGAAGACATTGTACAAGGTCTACTTTTGGTTATTTTATTTGAAATCATTTCTTGTGTCTGAGTCAAAATCAGTGTCTTATATTTATACTAGAGGCCTAGTGCACAAAATCCATGCATGGAGGAGGAGAGATCCCCACAGCCTGGCCTGCATCCACTCCAATCCAGTATCCGTTGGGGGATGTCTGACTGCTGGTTTAGGGAAACTGTCAGTCGACATCCCTCTCACAATCCAGGACTGCTGGCTCCTAATTGCTAGCCTGCCTGTTGGCCTGATGACCCCCTAACTGTCCTCTCCTGCTGGCCTGAGTGCTCCTAACTGCCTCTGCCACGGCCCCTGTCACTGTGACTTTGTCTAAAGAATATCCAAAAGATGTTCAGTCTAATTAGCATATTACCCATTTATTAGTATAAATGGAGAGAAAGGTGTGAGAGAGACACATCAACTGGTTGCCTCCCAAACACATCCAGACCAGGGCCAGGAATTGAACCCATGACCCTTTCATGCATGGGCCGATGCTCGAACCGCTGAGAAACACTGGCCAGGGCTGGAAGTTGGCACTCTGTCCAACATCTTTCCATTCCCCTATCCTGCATGTGTTGTGGATCATCCCACTCTATGTTTCTATGAGTTTGGCATTGGTAGATTCCACAGATAAGTGAGAACATACAGTATCTGTCCCCCTCTGTCTCGTTAATCTCACTTAGCACAATGCCCCAGAATGTCACCCATGTCAGAGCTGGCAGGATTTGCATCTTCTTCATGGCTGAATGGTATGAAGTATGTATTCAGAAAGTGGCAAATGTCACAGATCAGAGCACCCTAAAAAGAGATGATTTTCAGAGGCAGCACAGTGCCAGGCTGTCCCATCAAACACTAATGTGTCGAATCCAAGTGAGACCATTGCTGGGGAAATGGCACAGTCGACATCAGATGAAGACAGGAAGGAAGGCGGGGTCCAGAGAGGGGTATAGGCATCATTTTGGATTTCTCTTTTCTGGGTTGGTATCTAATTTTTCCCATTGGTTTAGAATCCAGGCAAAAATCATCTGAACAGAAGAAAGGACTCAATAATGTTCATCTGGTCACGTGGAGATAAAAACTAAATAACATGGTATCATGTAAACATAGACAGATATTGTACAATAGAATTGTACACTTGAAACTTGTACAATAGATGAAACCATGTCACCCCAATAAATGTAATTTAAAAAAAAAGTGGAGGACAGCATGTGGTGTTAGATGTGGGTACCCACACCTGCCAGATGGAATGGTGCTTCAAATCTCAGGGATGAGGAAAGAAGTGTGTGTGGGGGGGCTCAGGGGGTAGTCATTGCAGAAAGCCAACCGAGACATGGAGAGGAAACTCACATTTAATAGAGGGAGAAGCTGGTCCAGGGAATACTCAGACATCTCCTGCACCAAATCATGTTCATTCCATTAGAAAAATCAACTGGCAGATCTCCCAACTCATAGTCCCGACATTCCTTCAGAGCCTCCTGGGGTCCTCAGATGGGGTCCAAGGCTCCCCCTCCCTGAAAGGTGCGTTTTCCCTCTGCATTCACCTCCTGGCTGCATCCTGGGTCTGTGTCTGTCAGTTTCAAGCCTGAAATAGCAGCACCCCGAGCACCACCAGGACCAAGCCAGCCACGCCCATCTGGATGAGATTCCCCATGGTGTAGTCTTCAGGGTGGGAGGCTGGGAATTGGGAAAAACAGGTCACAGAGGCCAGGATCCTGGATGTCCACCCAGAGCAACTACCTCCCCTTGACAAGACATTACCCTCTGAGCCCAGCCCCGTAACTGAGAGTGTCTCCTACTCACTGATCTTGGGGTCCGAGTTGTTTGTTGATGGGCTGAGGGTGTCAGCTGCTCCTAAGAATCATGACATGAAGGTGTGAGTGAGGACCTGGGGATACAGGAGCCTTCCTCCTGGGCCCTGTGCTCTCAGATGCCCCACTTCTCAGATCATAACTTTTGCATCATCCCTCACCACCCAAAGCCACAGCAGGAGCAGCAGAGCCTGGAGCTGAGGCAGTTCTGATTCCACCCTGTTCCCTCCTCTGAGCTGAGCCTGAGATGAAGGGGAGGACTGGGTGCCTGGACCTGCATCCTGCCCATCCATCCCTGTACAGTGTCACCGTCACTGAGACAGAGAGACCAGACCCCATAACATCACATCCTGGTGGCTTCCCTGTGAGGCCCTCTCCCAGAAGGTCCGGGCCAGAACCGACAGGAAATCTAAGCTCTGGTCAAGGATTCTCTCACCTTTCACACTTGAAGACACACAAGGAAAAGATGTGTCCAAATTAGAGGTAACTGAGCCCCCTGCCCGCCATGGACACCCCTACCACCTCCACACAGAGACCCTCACTTACCTCTCTGCAGGCCTGACTATGTGGTTGTGGGTGTCTGATTCTCAGTGGGTCCTAGGGATCAGGATGGAAAGTGAGGTGTGGGTGCTGCCATCGCCCCACTTGACCCTGGCTGCTCCTTACTCAGCCTGGGTCCCATCACCTCCTTCTGCCACGACCTCCCCACCTGCCACCTCCCAGCAGACCTTTGAATCCATGTGCCCCCCTCCCCCAGAATCCTTGTCTGACACCCAGGAGCCTCAAGACACAAGCCCATCCTTAAGTATCTGAAGGGAATTTGGACCCCTTGAGAGACTCAGAACTTCCCTGGGGTGCTCTGTGCTCCCTTTGAGCAGAGTTCAAGGTGACTCATCAGACCTGGTAGGCGAGGGCTGGGACCCCAGGGGGTTGTAGAGATGAGTATAGGAAGGGTTTGAGGGTTTTATCCTCTTGAATTTGCCCTGTAGCCCACCCAAGGCCCCCCTGCTCCCACAAGGCACCTTTCAAACCCCACGTGAGGCCCCCCCAGAATCCTTGTCTGACACCCAGGAGCCTCAAGACACAAGCCCATCCTTAAGTATCTGAAGGGAATTTGGACCCCTTGAGAGACTCAGAACTTCCCTGGGGTGCTCTGTGCTCCCTTTGAGCAGAGTTCAAGGTGACTCATCAGACCTGGTAGGCGAGGGCTGGGACCCCAGGGGGTTGTAGAGATGAGTATAGGAAGGGTTTGAGGGTTTTATCCTCTTGAATTTGCCCTGTAGCCCACCCAAGGCCCCCCTGCTCCCACAAGGCACCTTTCAAACCCCACGTGAGGCAGAGAGGTGGGTGAAAGTGGAAGGGTCTCCAAGGAGTAGATCTCCTTGGGGTGACCCTTTCCAGAATCCCATCACTTTGCTTTCAGCTCATATCTGTCTCCTGGGGACAGCACC